GTATAATGCTTATTATGGGGACCCCCAAAAAGGTACCCAAAGGTACCCCCAATTTCGGGAAACCCCGGGTGTTTGCATCCATTCGCCGTGTGACAAAAGGCGTCTCCCAGGGGTAGACGAGCCAGTTCGGCGCGCCGGGAAAGGCGTCCAACCCCGGCCGCTCCTTGAAGGGCCGGCCGACTACACTATATAATATAGTTGTTTCCATTTTCTTTGCCATTATCACAATAAAACCCCAACATACTAAAGTGGGATTGCTAATATGGGAGCTACTATAGTATATTTGGGGCTAGTATAGGGATAATGGAAAATACTATGGAAGCTACTATGGCACTCCTTCCTGCACTTGGTCATTGTGCTGCTCCTTGTAACATTGGCAGCTGTGTGTGACAGTCAACCTGTTGAATAAGGCTTTGACTCTTGAATACGGCTGATTGATGCTTGAAGCAGCACTTCAGAAACTGGAATCTGGCTAGAGGGTAAACTCCACCTATAGCGAATGGCTGCCCAAATCAGGTTAACTTTCTGCCCACCAGTACAGATCGGATCGCCTAACACATGATCACCTGAAAGCCTTGATGGGGACCCGCTGCGAATCCTCTAGCTGGAATATTCAGGTCCAAGCGCCACAGTACCAAAGCCTTACTCAACATAAACTTCAGCACAATCAGCCTGCAATCTGCACCCTACAGTTGAGCTGCGGTTGCCAGCCCAGCCCAATCCTGTTCCCATAATCTTGACTGCTCCCCCATATCCCCTCTAGCACTGCATGTTTCCCCTGTACCCTCAACCCGCAACCCTCGCCGCGTCCTGCGAAGTTCCTATTGGGGGCAACTGGGGCTGCAGCTGTGCAAGGAATGCACCTTTGCCGTAGGCCGCGGGGCTCTGATCGGGGTTGTTTCTGCTCACGGAAGTTGATTGTACGGATCCCAACACTGTCTCACCATGTGGCAAACGGGGGAGGGATTCGTGTGGCTTTGCAATGTGACGGCGTTTCCAAAATTCTTCACGCAACAGGCGCATGCGCTAGGAAAGGTACATATCTGAAACAACACCTCGAAGATCCAAAAATATTGATCCCAGAAATGCTACCAATGTCTTGTTCAGTCATTCTGGAAGGTCAGCATACAATGGACAATTAGAACAAGAGGAGCGGAGATCGCTCCTGACCTAGACAATAACTTTATCAAAAAAAAAAGGCAGCATGTCTCCTCCCACACCCTGTACAAATGTCCTCATTACAGCTGCCTGAGAAGCATTGCAAGTTTGAGAAGCTGACGCACTGAGCACTGCACATACGCCGAAGAGAAGAGGCAACGCCCGCAATTCCCGTGCGTATTTCGGCATTCCATACCAGCGCGCGGCAGTAGCGTCTCTCAACATCCTACCCGCTTGCTTCTTCGGACCCGCTCCTTGCAGGGCCGAGTTCAGCGACAGAACGCCCCACACCCGGAAATGGGATCTAGACTTGATGAAGCTTTGTGCGTAACAGTTCTGGTTTCGGACCGTTTTTGGCATGCAGCCTAGCTCTGGGTTGTCTGAACACATCTGGGCCTGTCTTCTCGGGGTATTCCCGGTCTCGGGCCAGGTTAAAGATGGCTGTAGACAGGCGCAGGCATGCATGCGATCATGACAAGGCATCGTCATTCCTCCATGGGCAGAAGTTGGAGTAGTTCACTGATGCAGCAGTGGTTATATACATCATACTGATAGCAAAGCTTGACTTGTGGAAGCCAGTCCAAACCCATGATGAGGGAGCATGGTAGCTTCCCTAAATCTACCGTTCCTCAAGTGGATATCTTTCAAACGAACTTCTATAAATAGTTAGGACGCGCTAATGTTACACGAGATGAAAGTTCTCTCATGCAGGCTCCAGAAGGCAGGGCAGGTAAGGATACTGTGCTCGTCACAACTACGACGCTTGCCATGAGAGTGGTTGGTTGGACATTGTCCAGGTGGGCTTCCCCAGGAAATGTCAGGTTTAGGGCTCAAGGACCGAAGAAACATACTCCAAGAAGCTGCACCTGTGACCCTTCCTTTGCCGCTCTGGGCATTCACGAACAATTTGGGCATTCACGAACACACTCAAGTGCACTGCTTCGTCTAAAAATAGATGCAGTCTTCGCGGCTGAAAGCAAATGGACTTCTCCAAACAAAGTGTTGAACTCCTTTTAGAGGTCCTCGTATAAGGGAGTGACGAAGTATGGTAACAGGCTGCGGAAAATAGAGCAGAGCATGCCTTGCACGATTGCGAAAACAGGTGGATATGACTGAAACATGTTTATGCTTCGAAGTCGAAATGTGCTTCGGGTGTTCGGCTTGCCTACCTCCTGGACCCCAAACATGCCCAAGCTGTAGCCTAAAAAGCATTCATTAGCTCTTCTGGACCATGCTTCAATCAAAGAAGCCATGATGGCATATTTGATGGCCCCATTCTGTGGCCATCCCTTGATATTAAGGATGCTCCTATTTCGGGAAGGTGCATGGGGACCATATTTTTGGCACAAGCACATAATAACTGCAAGCGCAGGAGTAGCATCAGATGACGTTCTCATGCCAAGCAAGAAGTTTTAGGAGGTTATGCGCCCGCATTCTGAATGGTCTCACAAAAAACCATGTCGCAGCCTACACACAAGCGGCGCTCGAACATCATGTTTTCTAGCTTTGCTTCTGGCATGATTGGTGCAGATGACTCGCTGGCCCCTCTGCCACGCTAGAAGGCTTCCAAAGTGATCGTCGCTGGAAGGTTTTCGCGTCCGTTCAGACTCCAATATCACCCTGGGCTGTCCAAACCAGAAACAGCGGAGTGGATTCCTGCCTGGCTTCTACTTCAGGGTGAGCGTGCAAGCTTCCAAGATTGCAGGATCTCTTGTGGTCTACAGGATCCTAGAATTTCGTGCATGTCAGGTCCAAGTTCCCGGAAGCTGCAGACGGAGCCTTGCGCGATGGGTAGCGGGGCATGACTTGGTCCTGAGAGCCACTGCTTTTCTTAAACGTGGTGGCATCAAAAACATTCCATTGCTACTGCAAGTACCACCCGCGTATCATCAATCTGTTGGAGTTGATGGCCGCCTGACGCCTGGAATTCTCAACCTGGCGCCAGCAGCCGCAACCCAGGGTTCTCAAGAAATCGCTTGCACCATGCCCTCGCAGCAAATCAAGCCTGCACAGGATCTGGGCAGGAAAAGGCAGTCATCCAAAATATTCAGGCTCTATCATTGAATTTACCTGCCGCATGCTAGGAGCCTTAGTGTAAGGAAACTTCCAAAGTTGGATCCATAAATTTGGAGAAGCCCCTCGAACAGCGCTAATTGATCCTATCACTCGTCTGCCGGCTGCCACTGGCAAGTCTTGGGGATTTAGAAGCTTGGCCTGCAGAATGGAGTTTCCCTGCTTCACCCTCTGCAGGTGCCTAGTTAAGTGTTCGAGAGATCACTGTGACACCGCCTTGTTGTCGGCAGCAATGTACGATGACTACGGGACCCGAAGGCAACCCTCCTCCCAAGACCGGGGGACCATTCTTGCGGGTATGGCACCGTTCGTTGGCAAGGACTTGCTCCGAGAGTTATGTATCAGAAGCTGGGGTCTGATGCTAGCTGCCTCGGAGCCTTGTTTTGGGAAGGGCTGGCTGGATATCCCTCGAAACTACGAGCAAGATCTTTGAATTTCATGCTTCTTGGTGCAACTGCTTTGACATGCACCTGGGCGCAAGATCGTAGCGATGAAGATGACTACGTCGATGTGCGTGCACATGCACAGAAGACAACAGGCTTAAACCAGGGTGGATGCCTCTCATCTATGCATAGCAAGCTGATTGCAATCAAACTGGTATAAGCAACATTCCCCCCTTCTTGTCTTGCTCACGTGCTTGCAAACTCAAGCATGCAACTCTTGAAGGGCCTACACCACTTGCAAATCTTCGCCTCAAGATAGAGAGCTAGCTTGCAATCAACGTTGCAGGCCCATGATGCACGTCTCTGTCAACCAAGGCCATGGAGCGAACTTGGCTGCATGCTCAAAACCGAAGCCGCAGAACCAAAGCCGCAGGCTCCATAAAGTCCAAGGTTGGAAAAGCACCAAGGCAAAATATTGGTAGCAAAACGATGAGCAGCAAGACTGCTGCACGGCCCGCCGCGAGCTCATTTTGACACAACCTTGGGCCACGACATATTCATGATAACGGGCATTTGCCTGTGTAATTCCCAGGGTCGCTCGGCTCTCACTACATAAAGAGGATGCATAGAGTGTGTCTTGTCTCGCGGCCTGTACAGTCCACAGCTTGAGCCTTCCAAGGGCCAACATCCTGAGAATTGAGCGCATCGAGAAACTCTGTTGTCCGTGTGTAGACTTGTGGGAGACAACATCAGGTACTGTGCATGTTTCGAAGCACATACAGTAATGAGCAATGTTTACAGTAGCGATGGGCCACAACAACTGTAGTACTGATTCAGTGCTGAAGAGCAAGCCTACCAAATACAGAGGGGCCACAGCAATGGCTACAAGCATGCTAGAGATTGCTAAAGCGAGCTGTTCAGGAGTGCAAGAAACCGAAGCTGCACATGTAGCCGGGGTGTAAGCGCATACAGGCCACAAATGGGCCATTCGTAGACGATGTTTGGCCCTGTGGGTACATGGCTAAGCTGGTGCAGCCAACATGCACAATGTGGTGAAACCAAGGTCATGCTTGAAGTGAATTCCCTATGTTTGCGTTGGTTCAAAATTTGTAGGGTTTAAAATCACATTGATAGATCGACAGGTGCATTGCAGTTTGCTCGCTTGTAGGATGAATCGAGCTGTATCCGCTGTGGAAAACACGTCCCATCAAGATGCTGGCAGCCCACGCTCACCTTTCCGCATCTTCGGGGCATGATAGTTCTACGTATTCAATCACGTGAATCTGGAAAGAAACCGAGTGATCGCGATAGTACCACGAGCATGATTCATAAGAAACAGAAGCAGCAACAGCTGGGTCAAGCTCTGAGCTGACAGAGCTTGCATCCCTAGTGCTTCACGGATCGCGTGGACGAGATGAAGGATGATCTCAGGGAGTTCCTTGTCAGGGCACTTGGGAGATATTGGTGGGGTGCACATGAATTATGGAGGTATCAACGCGGGACTAGTGCAAGCATGCCCTTCTTGCATTCATCTACGAGGATTGGCACTGGACCCTTAACATCCATTCTATCGGGGCATCTCAGATAAAAGCCTCGGGAAGGTCGCCACAGCAAGTCTGGATCGAAGTAGGATCACCTAGAAACGACGCTTATACACTGGGAGGCTCCCCATGTTGGCATTGCAATCAAAAAGCCTTCTACAATAATCTGCACGCAAAACCTGCCCCCTGTAAGACTCACCAATGTCGCACAGGTTGTTGTTACAGACCAGAAAAATGGTTCGGTACCCCAGCTTCCACTCGCATTACATGTATTCTAGCAGCAGACAGCAGACGCAACAGTTGCTGTAGGCCTACGAATTCCGAACTACCATTCCAACGCTGTACCTCTTTTGGTAGCCCAGAAATGCTTCCACAAAGAGTGTAGTCATACCCCACATACAACCAAGTTCGAGCAATGACGAGCGCGAAGGCCTGTACTTGAGTCTCTGCGCGTCCCCACGTAGATTTCTCAGAGCCATGTCTCCATTGTTGGGAGTCCCCTGATCTGGACACGTGCTTGGTTGATGGAAGGGTGTTGGGGAGCGTAATTTGGAAAAAGAAGACTGCTGCCCAGCATCCCATTTGAATCCATCTTGTTGCGTCTACACAGCAGCAGACGCTTGAGACCGCGATTGAACTGCCGCTCGACCTGCCGGTGTTCAACTTCACCGAGCAACCCCACATCACCTGAATAATTTCTAGGTATGGTCTTCAACATCTAAACCCTCAAGCCTTGAACCCAAGCCGCTCACAATGTCAGGACTACTTACTTCTTAAAGGCCTTTGGCTGCCAATGTTGCATTCCTCTTCTCAATGTGCCCCACCCAGAAAGGACATGACAAGATGAAGCGGCGGTGGGGGTCGCCATGTTGATGCGGCGGTGGTGGTGGCGGTGCATGTTGCGGTAGTGACGGTAGTGAGCACTTTTGAACTTCCGATCATGAAGGAGGCCGTTCATCTGAACGAGCGGCTGGCTGTTCCAATGCATAGGCGACAGCTATTTCACGCGTCAGTCTAAGAATGGGCTAGGTGTGTTTTCCTTATTCTTGTGTTCTTAAATTTTCCTGTCCTTGAATTTGTTATCCTTATCTTACAGGGTTCTTTCTCTTAGCCCTTGGCCGCCCCGGAATTTAGATGGTTTCTTCACTATTCTGTACAGTAGCGTGTTTATTCTCGTTCTGTGGTATTCTTGCCCAGTTCGCACACGGGAGCATGATCCTAGAAACTTTGCCATCCCCCTACGTTTTCTCCTTGCACTCCCTGAATTCTCGCCTTTCCTAGCCTGGAGGAAACCCAGGCCTAATGGCTATCAATCTGGAAGCCAAGCTGATTCGCAAACTTGCTTTGGACATCGTGATTCGCAAGCCATGCTGAGTCGACAATCTTCGCACGCCGTGGCTTTTGCTGGCAAGGCGGAGCGGGCGGCACCATGTCTCATGAGGATTCCAAAGCTGGAATCATCATGCTGAGAAGCTCCTAACGAGCGCAGAAACTCGTCATTTGGGGCCTCATCAGGCCGGTAGCGTTCGCCCTGCCATTGGGACAGAAAGTCCAGCTCATCCGCCTGGGATTAATCGGCTCGGTAGCGCATGTTTTCGCTTTGGAGTTTAGTATTCGGGGCTGGGGTTCAAGGTGGTCCCGGGTGCGTGCGATATGAGGGTTCGAATTACCATACCTGGACCTGATACTTTACCTGGATCCTGACTCCCTTGCCCAGACACTGTCTCTTCAACCAGGACAAATCCCACAGCCCTGTTCCTGGCGTTATGGCAAGCTCTCAGTCTCAACCCTTGCAAAATACGCGTAAGCATGCTCCGCTGCTTGCCATACCAACACAGCATCCACCAGCTGTTGAATCTGCTGAGTGTCAAGCACTCAAAACTCCGCAGGTAGAGCACTGCAATCCTGAAGCCCTATAGGCCCTAGGCCCTACACCTTGAAATCGTACAAAGCTTCAGCCCTGAACTCTTAAACATAAACATTGAAGCCAGGGCTCTGTGAGGGCCCCGTCCTGATTCTCGTCTAAAGCGGCCCACAGAGCTCCCGGGTCACCGCCAAACTCGAACTCCTACAACGAATACAAGGAAGGCTCGGTCACACCATGGTTCCGTTTAGGGTCCCCCCAGGCTTACTGGCCTACGCAGATTTCATACTTGCGTGTCGTGGAGCCGGACCTTGTGTGTTTGAGACCTCTTCTGCTAGGGGCAGGCTGGTTGAGTTCGTACGTACGTCACTAGTATTGAAAACAGTGCAACAGAAAGGCTCGGGAGCCCCTTTCATTGCACCGTGTCGAGATAAGGTTTAAGGCTAAGGTTCTTATGCCGCAGGCCTTTGCGCATGCAGCCTGCGAAATCATAGAGCTGAGTACCTTGGCAGTATAGTACTGCATCAGTCGGCAGGGCGCAAATGACAAAGAAGCGGGACTGCAGGCTGAAAACAATCCTTACCGTCATGCAGTAGCTAGCTACTAGAACACAGGGCCGTCCTCGCAATGAAATGACTGCGAACGAGAAGGGGGTTGACAACTTCCCATGCAGGGTGTCTGCAGTTCTGGTGAGCAACAAGACTCCTGCAGCCCATCCCCGGCAAAACACTCCAATGCAAATTTCATAAGGATTACAAGGGGACCAGCCCACGTGATCAGAACTAGAGCACAAGGGATTACCTCAGGCGTCTACATTACATTGCGATGGTCTGAACCTCAATGAGGCGTTCCTTGGGGGCACTGTGGGACTTCTCATGTAACATATCGCACTGGAATCGAATGAGCTGGGTATTATGCTACACCGAAGCCTCAGCAACAAAGCCCCTATTCCTTCCTAGACCCCATGCATCAAACAATGCCGCTAGCGCTCAAGGCTCCTGCAGGAACTGGCGAAATTCCTTCTTTGTGCCTTGGCGACAATCGAAGCTAGGCTGACGCACTTGGGTTTAACAGCCTTTATCAGGGTCAGGATGCCCGGCTTGAAGCTGTGGACTGAAGTTCATAAGCTTTGTTCTGTAGGCTGGAGCCGTGTTGCAGGAATCAGGCCAGGAACAAGAGGAAAATGGAAAAGGACCAACCTGCTGCTTTGCCGGCAAAGCTTTCTCCTTGCTACACACGCAAATCTTCCCACAAACCCGCGACTGCACACCTGATTCTTGACTGATGAATGCAGAAAACACGGTACTTGCAAGCATTTGTCTTGTTCTTTTGCGTGCAGAAGCATCAGCGATGGCAAAAACCAGAGTGTTCCAGCGTGTTCAAAGCAAAGCTCCGGTATGACGCTGCTCCCCAGCGCAGGATCACTCTACATTACTGCCCCTGACTCTTTGGATTGTACCAAGTCCCTCCTTCGAGAAGAGGGCCTGCAAAGAGATCTGCACCAATTCTAGTCAGACAAGAAATGAAGAGACTGCGCATGACTGCGCAAACACCAGCATCCACCCAGCTAGAAAGGCTGGAGCCTGAAGGCCCAAGAGGGTTTTGACGTCATCTCATGCTGTGCTCCCCATCATCAGGCCAAGCAACAGGTTCCGGAACCAGTTCTGTCCAAACCAAACCTGCGTTTCTTGCTATGTAAGGCTACAGCAAAGCAGGTTGTGAGGCATGGTCTGGATGGACAAGATTGGGGGGGGTATTGAGCTCGAGGCATGATCGCCGACCAACCTGATATCAAGCTCCCTATTCAACCCGTATTAACCCGTCGCTTCCAGATACATGTCATGAGTAGCAAAGAAGGCTGCCGCTCCGATGTGCTTTTTGATGATCTACCCTTCCTTCCGATCACGATGGCACATGAATGCCCATTCGACAGAGAAGGTACGCCTTAAATGATGCTTTACGAATACTTTCCTTGCTATAATCATAACCAGAGTAATCACACTGGTATAACCCAGTAAGAATAAATAATAGCAAACTGAGGCACTGACGAATGGTGAGGCAGGTGGAAGCTTCAAATCAGCAAGCAACATAAATCCCAAACAGGACAACACACTGAAAGCTCGACTCTGTAACGTCCACCCTGAAACCTTACAGCCCAGTGACCCAAGATTCGAAGTTGCATGGCCAAGATCTTGAGATGATGTCAGAAAGGCTACATCAGGCTGAATCCTGAGTTTCCGAGCCCCCCGCGCCATCAACTCAACCCCTACACCCAGGCCCTGAGGCTCAAATCCCCTTCACAACCCTTTAGTTCTGGGCCAGGTACTTAAAAGCTTCCCGGAGGCCGCCGAACTCTCTCAGGCAAATCCTGGCTTTGCAGCTTCAGGTGTATAAGGCAGCGCAGAGGTCTATGTATTGTTTTGAGGCGCATTGATTTTGTAAGACTTCCTGGTCTCTTCCAGGCGCCCCCTTGCCTGCGTCAGACAAGGTTGTCACGTAGATTCTGCTGGATACAACATCCAACTCACTCAAACGCCCCCAGCCTGGGTTGCTGCTCAGGAAGTTCGACTAAGTTACCACAGAATGGATGTAATGTCGATGCCGTCATTTCTTCATAATGATAACTTATTCAACGTTCCTATCACTCTGTGATCCAAGTGTCCAGTGCATTCTCCGTGTTCTTTGCCATGTGATTCACTCTCCAAGCGGAACGCCCCAAATAGAAACCAGCTGCTTCTGCAAAGGCAGCATTTTGCAGGACTCCAACAATTGAATCGGTTTCACCATGATGGCTGACTGGCCACACCGTCTTCTAGATTGCTATTTTGATACCCCTGCTTGCTGGTGATCCGGTTCTTTTTGTTGACAAATTTCCGTGTCATTCAGACGTCTGCAAAATCACTCAGGCTGTAGGTCTGCTGTATTGGGTATGTAATGTTTGGACACTCTAGATTTGCCAAGTGTTGCAGAGGTGTGCTCATACGGAGCAACTACTTTGCAGCATCATGCGGACAGCTTAGATTCAAACGCGTCCGCACCCAGAGCCAGCACATTTCATGTTGGGCAGGTGTTCCCTTCAGATTCCACGCTACCATCTTGAAGTGCCCCTTCATTTCCTGATGTGCAGTTGCTCTTGAGTTGGATGTAAGTCAGTTCTTGGACTGGTTGTAAGACTGCTAAGCGATGAATTCTGACGTCTACACATCGGATGTCGGTGGGATGACTGCCTGCTGCAGCAACTGCAACTGCAGCAACTGAAGCAGCAGCAGTTTAGAGGGAGCTGCGAATAGGCTACTTGTGCGGTAGATGCCCAATGGAATACCTTGCCAACATCCTGCTGTTACCCCCAGTTATAAGCCAAGTCAAGCCCAATCAGGCTCATATCACTATCAGGCACCACCCTTGCACCATCTCCTCCGGAACAGCATCAAGCTCTTGTATGAGGTTGGATCCCAGCTTTCAAGTGTGATGAAGCCGCTGTTGTTCGTATCCAGCTGCTTCCAAAGCCTCAGCTCCATACCATTTTGCCCTGCTGCCCTGCAAGTAGATTGCGCTGCTCACTCTTCCTAGATAAGTGCTTACTAGCAGAGTATGTAATGGTGAAAACTCATACAATTGCTCCTGCAGAAAGCCACTTCTTTGTAGTAGATGTGGAGGTGCTGCGACGAGAAGCTGCTCCGTATCTACTTCACATCTAGGGCCCAAGTATCTCCAGGACTATACTTAGCAGTGAGTGAATTAGACGTCCCGGCTGCGTGGAGATGTGGGTGAAGCCCATCGACCGCGCTGCCCGACAGAAGGGCACGAAGGAGACCTTACCATGGCATACCCAAAGCCGAAGCGACGAACACTCGATCCGAAAGCCCCTCACAACAAACCCCAGAATCCTCAACCCATCTGGAACCTTTTACCTCCCCCGTATCAACACCACACTGCTATCTGAAGAGAACATGTCACACCAGCCCCAGACGCGAAAGCCTAAGAAGCCAAGAATCACGACCGAGACCTCCGGTGTCCAAGAGCAACCGCCAGCCTCAGAATTTGTTGCGAGAACTTGTAGTTGTGTTGGTGGCCCCAGTACATAGGAGAGTAGAATGCTAGTATACACAACTTGCCTTTGGTTAGCTAGGAATGAGTAGATCCTTCTAGGAATCCCTACATGGCCCATTATAGCAGTTTCCATTTTTTCCCTTCCTTCATTCCCAGCTAACCAAAGGTAAGACAAACCGAAACCTGGGTAAGCCTCGGTCTGGGGCCTCAAGGACCATGATGTAGAGCACACAGGGAAGATTCCAGGGACAGGAGAGTGGCCCCTAATCAAAGAACATCAGGGTGCTTAAGGGCATGATAGGGTCTGGCGACTATCCAAAATATCCAAACAGCATCTGCCAGTTGTAGCGCAGGCCAGGGCAGCTGCCAAGCAATCAGCACAAATACTAGGATGGCCAAGACCGGTGGTACACTTTCATCTGACCTAACCCGCAAGCTTGAGCGAAGAAGTCTGGGCACAGTTCGGCACATCCGTGAAATTCGTAAAGTGACCTGAAATACTGCCTGTAATTAGTTGTGGAGTTTCTGCCATGCCCCCACAATGCCCACTTGCAGGCTGGCAGCATCTGGCCAAATTGCTATACTTTCGGCGGCAGCAGACCTGCAGGCAACCACAAGCTCCCACCACACTGATGCAAGACATTGCCCAGAGAGCTGCAGACCTAAAAGAGCATGCTTGGCTAGCATGCAGGTTGCCGAACGCACAAGCCGCGGGCTCTCAAAACTTTGGTACAGTAGCCGACAGCCTTGAAGTCCTCTGTGTACGCAGCAGCGTCCTCCACTGACGTCAGCATGTCCTTTCGCCTGCCCATTGGTCGAGTACGGGGACCAGCGCTCGCAATATCTTGCAATTGAATGGCTTATTTATTTTACACACCTATTCTCACATAGCTAATCCGGATCCGGAAGCTTGACTTGCAGCTCCTCGAGTCCTACTTCTCACACTCGAGGTGCCCCTTTGCAGCAATCTCCTGCTGCATTTGGTGGTTCTCAGGCTGCCTTTTTCTTGGCATCTCGTGCCTTGCTACCTTCGGCCTCTTGCCAGCTTATGTACGGCTCATTGCAAATTCCAGACAATCTCGAACGGACTGGTCCCACTCGCCCACTGTAACTTATTGAGGCCTCTCGGCTGAGACCATTCTGATGCCATTGTGCGTGCTGGCGAACGGATCGCCAGGTGCAAAGTTTGAAGGCTTCTGGATGCTTCCTGGGCACAAAAGCCGTGGGTGAGTGTCAACAGCTTACTAAGTAGATCCTCAGAGGCATTCTTTGCATGTCTCTGGAGCAAGGCTTCTGAGGGCAACGGGCCTTCCACAACGTTCGTGCTTAAGGGAAATATCCCTTCGCTCATCTCATGAGATTCCGAAAATACCACTCTATCTGCATGGCTCTAGGATCCTGTTAGCGCAGCTCTGCCAAGAGCATCCCCTGAAGAAGTCCACGGCGCCACGTATGATCTTGGGGAGCTCCGGCGCGACGCTTGCCAGAGCTAGGGAGTCGTCAGGCACAGGCCTCGAGGCGGTTTGCCTCAGGATTAATGCAGGTGATTCAAGCAATGCCTGCCTCGTCTGTTCCACAACTATGTTCCAGAGTTACAACCCAAGTAAGCTTTTGGCAGCTGCGCATCCTTCCGGCTACAGGCCATTTGAAAGTTGATGACTGGGTGCCTTCTGCCCCTTTTTTGCAGCACTTTTGCAGTCCCACACATAAATTGCATTATGCCCGACACGCCTGTCTTGCTCTATGCAGGGAATATTGGGGGAGCAGGGCAGGTAACATTGCCTGAACGGAGTCATGTGGATCCAAAATGATAAGAAAGTCTTACTACCGGGAGCCGGAAAGGTACCCGCAGTTTGACAAGCCGCCATATGTTGCTTCTCTAGGCACGGGGAAGATAATTAATAGTCATTCGCAACCAGGGGTTCCCCTGATGTAGCCGTAGGCGGGCCTCACAAGCAATCAAGGGGCCACAAGAAGAAAAGGCGTGAACGCGGTGCATCTTCACCAGTCACAGGCTGGGAGGAACTTCTGCGAGAACTTTGCTGAGAAGCAGAGCAAAAAGACATCGCGCCGCGAAATGGCTTTCTAAGTTGGTTGCCTCGGCTGTAGTGTCCTGATAGATCCTGATAGCTCTTTCCTGTGTGTCGAGTGTTTGCTGTGATGGCTCAGAGCGCAGGAAAGCTTAGTTGCTTACGACCTGTAGCTTCTATTAATGCAAACAAGTACTCCCGGGTAGCAGTTGCATTGTCAGATTGTTGTGCAAAGTTTGAAGTAGAATGAGATTATATGACCGAGTCTAAGAATTTTCGCGCCACCTACCTTTGATCCAACAGGTTCCAGGCGTCAGGGCAGCTGCGTCTCTATGTGAGAGGAAGCAGTAAGAAAGATGCCACTGTAACGCTGACAACGTCATTGCCAGCGCTGACCACAACAAGCAGCAGCAGCATCAGCAGCAGCAGGAGGAGCAGGAACAGGAAGAGGAATCGCAGCAAGAAGAAAAAGAAGACAAAGTTCAACAGCTCAAGAGTACGAACTCGGCATAGAACGAAGAGTCCACAGCAGGCATGGTGACAACAGTGGACCATACTTCTGGACAGTGCAATGAGCATGGAGATTAATTACGACAATGGCCGACTAAGATCACACATGATACGCATTTCCGGCAAATTGCGGACAGAAATCATACCTTCCAAATCTGAAGCGAAGTATCCCTCGCTCCCTCGCGTGCAAAAAACTCAACAAGCCCGAAAACCGAGCCCTGCTGGCTAAACTCGGGGCTTGCCTCGGGACTGTGGCAAGGTTATGAACGCAATTCGATGGGGACAACGACCTTTACGCCCCCATACTACACCCTAAGCCCTAAACCCTAAATAGTAGTTTCCATTCAATTATCCATACATAACCCCAATATTTTCCATTTTCTTTTCCATTATCCACTGATAACCCCAATATAGGCGGCAGCAGCAAAAGCTGGGGCCACAGCAACCAGCCTTCTTGGCGGCTGCCAAGGTGTTGATGGCGCTCAAACACATGCTTCGATACCTGTCTCCAAAGCCAGGCTACAGGGTTATGTATATGCATATATGGGTATGTAAAGTTTCCAATAGTGATGAGGAATAAGAGGGCTTGGAGAAACGATAAGTTTCCAGGAACTATCTCTAATAAGATATACGGGGGTTTCAATCAAAAACCCTGTCCATTTTGGGAAGCGGCCAAGTCGTTTTTACGTTCTTCCTTGCGGCACCCCTCACTTTGGCTCTCAAACCATACCCTGAAAGCCTGAAACGCTACAGCTCTCTTTTTGCTTGTGTAGATTGAAGCAACACAAATGAAGCCGCGCATTAGTAGTATGGATGAAGCGCACTTGCTTCTCAAACTACCTACCTCACATCCTCTTGTCCTCGCCTATGTTCCAGCTTTTCCTGCTGGGGAGCCACTGGTGCTCTTCCCTGGTCCTGCAGCATCTGGGCGAGGTCAGTTCAGCTGTCTGGGTGGTAAGTGCTGAGTGATATACCCATGCCGCGCGAACTCGCAGGTACCTTAGGCGCATGCAGTTTACCTGCCATTAAGATCTAATCTATACATCGGACCCCTTCTGAAACAAATGGCAAAACTGGTTTCTGCCTCCGCTGTCATATGTGAATCTCACAAAGCAGTAAAACAATGGGATCTCCAGCGTGCTTTTCTCTGGGCATGGCAGGAGCTGGATGCAGTCCTCGGCGGCTTTCATATGAAAGTTGTGGACCCTGCACAGAAGCTCCATGGCACCTGGATCCTCCTCGCAGAAAAGCTGTAGTCAGACAAGTGACCTCTGCCTCATGAAAGCAAAGAACTATTCGTGGGCTTTTCTCATTAACGCAATTGTACGTTGGCACCAGACCCCAATCCCAACCAACAAGAACAGTTGAGATCTGGCAAGTTGAATTCGCGCCTCAGCCGTTTCCAACACGAAGCTGGACGTGGTGGCCATGAAAGAACAAAACCCACAATGGCTGGCCCGTACGTCCCTGAACCCCAGCCCGCCCACGGTCCTGTGAAACTGTCGAAGTCGCATCTAGGAAGCCCAGTACACCAAAATGCCTTCGGCCCCGAAACCTGAACGCAGCCCAACAGCCCAACACCCTGAACCATCATCACCATCATCATCATCATCATCGTCATCATCATCATGCGCACTTGACGCCAAAAGGTGTTGCCGAAGGTCTTTAGCATGATTCCACAAGCATAGATCCGAAGCCCTGCATCGGCATTCTCAACTCTATCAAACCGCATACGGTCCATGCATGCGCCAGCCCTCCTCCAGCCATCGGTTATGGCGGACCAGATCCTCTGTTCCACAATGGTTATGACTAATTGAGTATGAGCCAGAATGTGAGCAGGCAAGGCTTTGATGGGATGACCGGGATTCTGATAAGGCCATCAGGAGACAACACAAAACAACCACCTTTCACTGTCTAGCTTCAACCTGCAGCCACGCTCACTGAGCTTCAAAGATGAAGCCGAACTTGCTGCTCTGGTGTGTCTGCAGCAATGAAGCATCATGTGTGGTGGTGGCAGCGGCGGCGGTTGAAGGTGTTTCTGCTGGTACTGCCAGTGGTGCTGGTGGTGTTGGTGTCAGTAGTATAGCGGTAGTCGCAGTGCTGTGCTCTTGTCGGAAATACTAGCTAGATGAATCGAAAAAGGAAACACGGTGCACACTCATGGGTTGGCAGGCCACTGTCAACTCGGCAATGCGGCGGAGGTGTAGTATTGCTGCCGCGAAGAAGGAAGAAGCAGAGCATCCTTTTCGTAAATCACGCCTGCAAAGGTTCCAGCTAAATAAACCCACGCCCGAGAATTCTCAGCCATACTGTGGGGTATTCAACAGCACGGCAAGCCCTCATCTTACAACCTCACATGATTGTATGCAAATGGCGGTCCTCTGAGGCCACGGACCTGATGACTATAGGGATCCCCCAACACGAAAATTACCGAGAACTCTCACTCTTTCACCCCCTGAGGAAAAACTTGTGACGACTACATGGACACCAACAAGGAGCACCTGACTGCGAGAAGCTTAAACCCTAAACTCTGAACCTTGAAACCTCAACGCAGTAACCCCAAACGCTATCGTGTGCCCAGGGTCCAGCAGCTGCGGGTGCCGGGTCAGGTTGGTCTGACCCTCCTCGAAGTGGCTGAGCACCATGAGCATGCTCAAGACCTGGGCTCTCAGCTTTTTATTCTGATTTTCCGAGGGTGCGGTCAAAACCGCTCTCTGCCGAGCCATATTGGTCCCGCCCAACCCTGCAGCTCCTCAGTATATCGGGATATGTAAGGATATTTAGTGGATGTGTAAGGTTCTGGGATTGGCGGTCTGGATTATTCACATCATGGGGTTGGATCCGGACGGCTTTTTCAGGGTATCCAGGGTGCCTCTTCAAAATGGCTGAAGGCCAGATCGCTGGGACAGCATATCCGCATCCCGCAAGACGCAGGGGTCTGGGCCTGGACCCTTAGCCCACAAACAGTCATCATAATCATAACAATATAAGGGTCGTCGGGACATATGGGGATGATATAGGGTTACATAGGGATATCGGATAAGAAAATGGAATGAGCTCTCTGGTTGTCTGCATGCGTCTACCCTGTGTAATGGTTGAAATCGCCAACACAAATTCCTATCTTCCGTGGTGATACATCCTAAACCCCCAATAGTGGTTTCCATTTTATTTTCCATTATCCCAATATAACCCCAATATAAGCCCTAATATTATCCCAATATAGCCAGGATATTACCCCAATATAGCCCCAATATAACCTCAATATAACCCCAATGGGTTATCCCTCATTTTGAGGCTGGTTCCTCAGCTCCCAACCCGCAGATCTTCCCGGCTGGCTTTCCGGTAAGGCTGCTGGCCTTTGTGATAGGGATTGGGGTTACGACTACTGATATCCATCAGAGCAATGGTAGTTAGTTATCGCTGTCCCCCTATGTTCACCCCAAATGTTGAAGAATACATGCAGAGCCCCAAAGTCCTGGAAGATTACTTTAAGAGGGAGGGCTACGTTTCTATGAAGCATTTTACACTATTGAGAATAAAAAGGCGGTGTGATGAATCAACGGACTTAAAGCTAACCTACCCAGGATCTCCTCTTTTTACCAAGCAGTTTATGAGCACAAATGCCTTTCTTTGTAACAAACGTTACAGGCAGCCCCTCCTAACTCTTTCAAGAAATATCCCCCTTTATTTGCAAAGCAAGAACCAGGCGGGCGGGGGTGACCATCAGTTGGAAACGTTTTGTTGTTAGGGGAGCGACCAATGGAAGTAACAGTGCGGTACTGATAGTAGCGATAGCGATGACAGTTACTGCATACAAACTTCAGATTAGATGAAATAGCTTGAGTACTGCCCCCACCCTGCAACAGTCTATATAAGGGGTCATGTTGAGGGATGTAAATGTTTTTATTCTAAACATTATCCAACTGCTACAGAGTGGTGGCAGTGCCCAGGAAATCATGCTTGTCATTGGGCTTGGAGTGGAGCTCGGGGTAGAAGAGGGTGACTGGGGGAGTGAGTATAGGTACTAGTATAGAGGTAGATATGTGGGTTTAGGGTTTAGGGGGTTTGCAGTTCCAATATTCTTGCTGCTCTTGGGTGAGGAGGTTTGCCTTGGCACCAAGAAACCAGTCGGATTTAGCAAGCTTCCTTTGTCAGACAAGGTGCACGTAGTGGAAACAATTGGTTTTAGCGGTACGGTGGCGCCGATCCCTCATGGGAAAAACGTCTTGGCCCTATCCTTCGGTAACAACGGGAGAGGAACAGCCATCTAGCATTGAGGGGGGAACATCCGGCTTGAGCTCTGCTGATGCTCCATTACACAGGGTTAACAGTTTACAGCCCTCATTAAGTAGATAGAATATGGCCTTGGCTTATTACAATAAGATCCCCGTATACCCCATATTCTCTCTACTTAAGGGGAACTATAGGATAGGACAACACCCTTCAAGCTGCTCCAGAACTCCAACCTATGCCCTGCTTGAACAACAAGAAACCCTGATCTCTAAGCCCAAAACCCCAAGTCCCAAAACCCCAACCCCGATTCCCTACAGGCATATCATCTTCATGTCCCTCTTATGCATGTATCCCCACATCCCTATACCCGAGATCCTGCCATCGCTTCATCCCTGCATCCCTTTATGTCTCTACCATCCCTATACCTCCCCAAAAGCCATTCAAACCCTAAACCCTAAAACCCTAAGCCAGGGCTTCAAACAGTGCCCAGCGGCTGTTCTTGATCAGCTCAGGTGGCGCATGCGGGTCCCGCGGCCTCGCAGAACCCGGCTGCGATTCCGACTTCATCAGCAGCGACCTTGGTCGGGTAGGTTTAGGGTTTTGGTTTAGGGCTTAGGGGTAATACTTCTAGTAGGCAGTATAATCATACTAATAGTAGTAATAGCAATAAGAATAGGAAATAACAACAGTAACAGGAAAAGGCAGAGCAACAATCGCAGTAGTAATAAATCAAAGAAACGGTCGTAATAATATTACAACACACAATAGTAATCAGAATGCCAAGGTAATAGTGATGGTAAAACTAATCATGCGACTTTATGGCTTAGTTATAGTGGGCGCTGATGGAGATGACCATCATGAGAACCCTAACCCCAAAAATCGGTACACAAGCCTTTCTTCTAACACTAGGGACCCTAAACCATAGATAGGCATTTACACAGGTTCTGAAGGAGGCAGGTTTGGAAGATCTGGGGTGTCCCAAAATTAGAGGTACCTTTAAAGGGAGATTAGGGGCTATATAGGGTTTAGTTTAGGGCCTTAGGGTTTGGTAGGGTTCAGGGATCTAGGGCTTCGTCAAAATTAGTAGGTGCCTTTTTGGAGGGCCCGCAGTAAGAATCATGGTATTTGGGAGTCTATTTTGGGGTCCCCCGATTTAGGGAAACTACTCAAGATTAGGGTTTGGTGATGAGGTTTTGGGGGGCTAAGGTTGAGAGATGAGGGTTGGAGCGCTTTCAGAAACCCTAAACCCTATGTAGCCCAAGGATGGACAGGCTTTTCAACAGGATTATACGCGCCCCTACTCAGGTAGCAATCTTTTTGGAAACTCCCACGTGCATCTTCTGGTGACACTGCAAGAATTGTAGGGATCGCAATTTGAAAGCTGAAGAGTAGTTAAATTTAAAGGGTTTTGCAGTGCTGATGTGTAGTTGAACACGATGTGTTGTCACTGTTGCACATAGTTGATGCACATAAAGTCCTCGTTAGCCGTCACGTTATGTTGGCTTTCTCTGGCAAGTTGGCCTCCGGGGCGAAGCGCTTCATCTGGACCATCTGTACCATCTTCCTTTGAAAACAGACCTCCAAGAAGGTGACCCTAGACTAGAGTTATTTTGGGATCCAGCACTTTCAAAATGATTATGTCAGCACGTCCCTGCAGCTTGGTCACCCCTTGAGCTCCTTGAATTATATTGGAGGCTCTCAATCACCCGCAGAGCCCAAAGGCGTTGCATCATTTACAGCTTGATGGTGCTAAGTTGTGACTTGATTCGGCAACCCACCGAAAAAGAAGCTCCTCAACCTGGCAGCCGGATCCTCCCTTGAAGCTGTTTTCCGTGGGTCAAGCTTGCGCAGTCTGCTGCAGGCTTTTCAAAGCCGGGAAAGCTGAGGAATGTTTCTCAACGTCTGTGCCATAAACTCAGGTCCCGTGTTGGTGCTCCCGAACCTTCGCAGGTCCGAATGAAGTACAGCCTGCATCAGCTGTGGCTGTAAAGTAAACCCTGGCCTACTGGTAGTTCTTACTTTGAACAACCTCTTTGCTTTCCGTATTCAATGCGCTGAAAAAACTTGCCGAATTCTCATTCCAACCGATCATATGATGCACGGTTTTTATTTAAGGTCTGGGCAACTGGTCGATGGAAAATTGGTGAGTGTGTTATCGTTTTCCAATTTTCGGTGTATATGTTGTCGTTACCGTTTTTGGTGAGTGTGTTATCGTTTTCCAATCAAAACCCCTGCATCACGAATCCAATGTCCATCGCTTACATATCTCCTATGGCCGATAAAAAAACCACACGTCATATGACTGTATAGCGCTACAGATGTGTCAACAGGTTTGCTTGCTGCATTCTGGGCAACAGGATCTGTCAGAACAAATTCGCGATCCATGCAGACCCCCTGCAGGTCAACCACCATGAACTGTCCTTTGGAAAAGTCGTGCGTCCACTTGCAGAAATGTCCCAGCACTGTGTCATAGACCTTTGGATCCCAGAATGCCTTGTTGTCGTTGTACTTCACGAACTTCTTGACTGGCAGCACAGGCTCAACAGCGTAAGCTCCGCCTGACCCCTTGTCCTCGATGATTTCAGGGACCAGAAATCTGATGGCACGGGTCGGATTGAAGGCCTTGTTGTATTTGCGAGCAAAGAAATCAGCAACCAGTGCTTTCTCCACCTCAGCTTCGTAGTCGTGGTGATTGCCCGGGCCAGCGGCCTTGTGGAATTGCTTGAACACTGCTCTTTTCCAAGGCTTCTTACCTTTGTGGCTGCGGTAGAGGCCCCAGAAGCACTGGCGGCTGACACCCCGGGCAAAAGGGTGTGAGTGGACCACAAACTCAACCATGGAGGCATGCGCCCGAGCCTCGTGGATGGAGGCGGCACAGTTGTCCATGCTGTGGTGCTTTTCCCAGGCCAGTTTGCGGGCAAGGCAGCGCTTTCCAGATTCGAGAAGATGCCACTCAGGCTCGTCATGGGAAAGGACAAACTCAAGCTCTTTGCTGGCCATCTTGGGCGCGGAGGCTGCGGAGGTGAGGTCAATGGATGTGCAAACTGACTGTACCACAGCCTCCTGTACATCCAGCGGATTGTTCACAGGCACCATGTTGATATACGGCTCCGTCTCGGAAGCATGCTTGCTCTGATCATTAAAGACCTTAATCATCTTGTCAGTATGCTCCGTGATACGGCCAAAGTAATAGTCGATCTTCATGGAACGAAGTCTCAGCAGCTGCTCGGGTATAGAGATGCCAACCCCGTTTGGGCGGTTGTCCTTGATGTTGTCACCATGATACTCGCAACCGTGGCACGGGGCATCAGCAATGTGAAACAATACCCGCACATGCCTGAATTACAGCTTTCAGTCTAAGTCTAGACATGTAGATGAGTATAGGTGCAAAAAAAGCTGTATGCAACTTGCTGCGCTCAGAGTTGCTTGACCCAGGAGAGGCCAGCTGCCTTTTGAAGTGCGCCAGCCACGTCCTCTGCTGTGTCGTCTCCACCTGAAGCCAGGACCTTCGAAACAAACCCCTCGAACCTTTGCACGTCCTCCGTGAAGGGCAGAATTTCAAATTGATGCCTGTCCCACAGGTCACGGTATCCAAGGAACCCGAGCCGCAATTTAAGCTGTGGATAGGCGCACCTCAGGCGCTGAGACATGGAGCGAATGGTGTCCTTCACTTGGTTGATGTATGGCTGCATAGAACCTGTACAATCCACCATGAAAAGCAGGTCAACATCCTGGTACTGCTTCACAACCTGCCCCAAAGAGTCGATCTTCCTTACACTCAGGGCCATGTCAAACATACATAAACAGACTACAAACAACTCCCGGTTGATCTGTTCATCTGAAAAACAGCTTCAAGTTTAGTTGAGCTGCTTTCGCTTCAGAAGTTCTTTGATCATCGCTTCTTTCTCCTCCTTGTCATCTTGAAGCTGAGAGTTCTTGTGGATCAGCACTCTGTTGTTCTGAGTGGACTCTGCGAGTCTCTGCTCCTTGCTATCCAGATGTGCTTGCAGTGCCTTGTTGTTCTGTGTAGACTCGGCCAATCTTTGCTCCTTGTTAACCAAGTCTGCCTTCAAACCCCGGACCTTGCTGTATCCCCAAACGGCTGCTAACATGCTGAGCAATCCAGCTCCGCCCAACGCGCCCAGCACGCCCAATTGCAGGTCGGACAGCAAGGGCATTCCGGTCGCTGGCCGCTGGGTCTCTCGCGGTGCAATGTTACCCGTGCGCGTGTCAACCTCCTGACCGTCAGCCTTGGAATCCCCAGCACCCTGTGCAGCGAGCAGCGAGGAGGCAACTGTTAATTTTACCGAGGGCTGGCAAACCGTCTGTTGCTGATCATTCACCACATCTTTCAGTTGGGAGATGGTGTTCTTGTTCGTGAGGACCACGTCGTCCAATTTGATATTGAATGCAACGTTGTCCATCCACTCATGAACTTGCTTCCACAACACGCTGTAACTCGGCAGGCTTGTGTATGTCCTCTCCTGCACCTCGGGGCCGAAAGTAAACCACCAGCATAAGGTGCTGGATCAAACCCCCCATTCACTCCTGAAGAACCCGAAACACTAGATTTGCCGCTGTCATGGGCTACTGTCCCATCATCCCTCAAGGACCCCCGCACGACCTCGAGAGCAGATATAGCTCAATAAAATTCACTGTACAGTGACCATACAGGATACTGGGAGGGACCCCTTGGGGTATATGTGAATTACCATGGGATCCTGGAGGTCCCTGAGGAAAACACACCATTGACAGCAATCCCCACCTAAAATTGAACCCCCCCACCCCCTTAAAGACTCCCCATTGCGGTAGATTAGAGTATCTTGGGCATACTTAACATTGGAGGGGATCACCCTTGATGGGAGAAGAACGCTTAAATCCGTCAAGCTGGCCTCACCGCTCGGCAGGTGAAAGGCTACCTGGTTACTGACCCCAATTCGAGGGTTGGTTTGGGGGCCCTATAAGAATTCAATTTCTATGGATTTAGAAGGACTGTATAGGGATTAAGAGTAATAACAAATAAGTCAAAATATGTTCATCCTCAACCTGAATTGGGTCCCGTCACATCACACTGTCAAATGTTCGAGGCTTTAGGGTTTTGGGGCTTGTTCTGGGACTCACTAAAGTCAAGGACCCCAACAGATTTCACCCCCAGCCTGAAGACCCTCGGGAATGTCAATCACCACGAAGCTGGACTCTGTGTACCTCGTATGGTTGCCAAGCTTTCTTCCACCAAAGCTTGGGGTCTAGGCTTCCCTGAACCCAAATGGGAAGTTCCCAAAACTAGGGGTACCTTTGTGGGGGTCGTGTTGGATGACGTGAATGCTCTCAGCCAAGACCCTCCTTGTACCCTTAACTAGGGGTATATGGTCCCTAATAGTGGGTATTTAGGGGTATATAGAGTCCCCCTGTTTAGGGAAACTACCAAATCTGTACTGTCTTTGCAGTCTGGATGCACATCTGAACTTGCATCACTTTGGGGAATCGGCTGTGTCGATGCTTGACCCTCGGTTGAACCTTTGTGGTCACTGACCAGCAATGACTCCCCACCCTTATGGTAGAAAATAAATCTTCGGAAGCCTGTCACCTGACTAAGGAGGGCTAAAAGCAAAACAGACTAAATGGTCAAGGCGCTGTCCTGCATGAGTGCGCCAAGTTTTGCGCTAGAACACGCCGTGTGCGCGTCTAGACTTCCCTATGTACAAACTCAGCCTCTCACAGTCTGTGGGACCCTTGAAATCTCAGCTGCGGGAAATAGAGCTGTCAACTGCCAACTTGCCTCAAAACAAGACATGCTGAAGCCTCTGCAGGGAGCACCAGAGGCACTTTCTGTCTCACGACTTCCTACTTCGACACTGAGATCGCCGCTGATATCGCCGGAGCCATTGCCTTGCTGTGGAACAGTTGCAGGCTTCCGATTTAAAAGGGTAAGACTGATAGGCTTACACATCGAAAGCCCAGATTCTAAGCAAGGATGGTGATCCCATGATCCCCGGTTTTAAGCAGTACACAGTTTAGTAATGCTCGTAGTTGCAACTGTTGAACTTTTTGTTTGGTGTAAATTGCTTCAGTGGTTCGTAGGTGGGTTGTGGTGAGGGAAGTGTCTGGCGATTTCCTAAGGAGAGGGATCATGACTCAAGCACAAGCCCATCGCAAGACCGTTGCAGCTTGTGCGGATTCTGCAAAACTGCCAAACTTGGCAAGGGCGGGCGTCATGCGTTCCTAAGATGATACTCTCAAGCTGCATTGAGTCGAGCAAAGTATCGGCAAAATCCAGAGCTTGAAATCTGCACGGTCTGGACCTGAAATCTACTGTTCGTAGGTTGCGCCTCTTTTGGGGCCTTCATTTTTAGATTGTCCCCTTGTTTCACCGAGTACATGATCACTCGAAGATGACTGGCAGAGGTGCAGCATGTTGCCTGTAGCTCAGTGCAGAGAAATTCACCTTAACGTGGCAGTGATTTGCCTTCACTCTTGAAGAGGCCGCCTCTGCAAAGACCTGTAGACGACCCCAGCTCCCCAGGAAAGCTTTAAGTCTTTACAATTTCCTTCCCACGCACTACAGGGTTCTGTTTCTGCAGAACCAGAACCAAAAAGCAGAAGAGGAGCCTGCATACTTCCATGTCTGAGAGTGACATGATGCGCTACGTAATTATCCCATGTCCTTAACAAGCCAAAACCCAACAGCTTGAACCTCAAGGGATGTCAAGCTTCAAGACCTGCACCTGAATCTAAGTCTTGCCTGCATACCCCAACCCCCAGGACATGGCCACTTCTTAAAGGCGATCTTCCTACATATGTTCCATACCAAGACCCTGCAAACAAAACCTTCAAATGTCAGAAGTCCCCAGTTCTGCGCCCAGCGGCTCTACCTCTGCATGCTCTGCACGGCAATCCTCTACAAAAGCTGGAGGAATAGCCAAGAGATGAACGTGAGACTGGCAACACAAGTATTCATGCGCATTGGTAGTAGAAGAAGTGCTGGTGGCGGTGGCGCCCGGCGGCGTTGGTGGCGCAGTGGTAATCAGAGCAGTAACGGCAGTGTTGGAGCTTGAGCAGCGGCATGGAGCAGTTATGCCAACAATTGAAGTGTGATTATGGCTTGAGTTATTATCTCAGAACTATCCTGCATGGTCTATCAAGTCGCAGACTACGAAATGCAAGGAGAAAAGCGCTTGTGTGGTAACACGAACGACTGCCGCAGTAGCGAGAGCCTGGAACCGGACTTTCTTTTGTGCAGACACGCTAGCAATTCATGTAAGGTCGCGGATGGAGATGAGAAAGAGGAGATCGCATGTTAAGATGAACCCCAGGCTCCAGTCCAGTTTTCGCCGATATCTGAGCTACATTTGCCAGAGCAGTGTCTATAGCTGTCAGGAATATTTGCCAGCTTGAGGCACACAAACAGAGGCCACTAAATCCATGGTGCGGACAGGAAGAGAGAGAGCAGGCAAAGGCCGCTCAATTGTAAGCCTTTGTATATAATTTCCTTGCTTTTCTCACAGCTCCATGCTCGGCCCTAAACATCCCTCAACTGGCTCTTTCCCGGCCTCTTGATATTCCGCACGAGCTTTTTCGGCCTCCTGCTCCGCCTTCTCAACTCTCTCGTCCTTGCTTAACTTGCAGGGATGAAGCTGCTGACTGCTAGCTGCTGGCTGCTAGTAGTTGACAGCACATGGCCTTTGTGGGGGTTGGGGGCCCACAGGAGAATCATAATCAAGCGTGATTGCATCCAGCGACGGATCCCAGCCACGTTCTTCACGGACAGCTATTGAGCAAAACGAACAAAAATGGTGCTTAAAGTGCGTGTTGTACTTGCTGTACTAGCACAAGTAGTAGCAACAGCAATAGTAGCAGCAGCAGTAAAGTAAGAGCAGTAATAATACCAACAAGTAGAGTTGTGGTAGTCGTAGCAACAGCATCGGTAGCCGCCACCACAGCGGCACAGTGGAAGAGGAAGTGAGGCTGCCAACTTACCATCACATGATGGCAGCAAATGCGCTCAACCATAGACCACTAAAAACCGAAACTGTTGTAAATCCCTATGGACTGTAGATGCGTACATATAAACCCTGAAGCCCAAGCCTTAAAGCAAATCCGCAAGCATTTTCAGTCCTCGCTGTCCTCAAGCTGCTCCTGAGGCGGGGCATGGGCACTGGGTCTGTGGCTTTTGGGAGCACGTCGCGGATCCCATTACTCTAGAGAACTTCATTTTGCCAATACCTAGCTGCCTTCTATTGCAGAACTTATGCAAAGGAAGCGGAAGGTATGATACAAGAGTAACACAAATGCCGTGAACTGTTCTGCTCGCTTGTTCCCGCCATGTAGGGCTCCCGCCCACTTGCTGTAGTCGTTCATGGGGGAGCAAGCCTCAGCTCCAATGCCACAGACTTATATCGAGGCCTGGGGGGCCTAGATCTAAGACCAGCAACAGGGGGCTAGTTCCCGCCCCGCTTCCACCCCTCCCAGGACGATTTCGAGAAATTCGCAGATTGGTTGTCAGTTTCCAATTGTTGGGTCATTATGGGGGCTGACTGCGGGTCAATTGGACCCCCTCCCTTCTCCCCCCCTTCCGCCCCCACTCCCACCGCCTTCCCTTTCCCTCGTCACACCCATGACTTCGCCATCTGCACACCAAAACAAGCCAATATCGTCCGAAAGCACCACCTTCTTCACACAACGCACACAACTATTCAAAACCATCCAGTGGAAGCCCTAATTGTTCTTCATGCTTTCAGCCTCGCATGATTTCTGCTTCGCTCCAGTGTCGACCCGCCCGTCGCCCCCGAAGCAGCCCTCATCGCGGCAGCGATTAATTACAGCAGGTGCTCTGCAAAGCAAGTCCTGCGTCTGAAGCTGCTCATAAAAGATCAAGCATGGAATCGCGAAGAGCGAGACCTTCTAGATGACAGCAAACCCTGTGTAAGGCAACAGCCGCCAGGCCAAGGCAGCGCGAAGGAGCAACAGTTGTTGGCCGAAACGCGGTGACAACTGGGAAAACGTGTAAATGCTTGTAGCTATATGTATAGTGCACTGCATCTTCACGGGTGCAATGGACAACTGGTACGCATGGCTCAAGTGCTGTCGCTTCTGATTGCGTTGGCTACAGGTAAGTGGCTCGGTCCGTATGGTGGTTTGGTGGTTCGCTTGACTTTGGCTAGACACGTACGAATAAACAATCTCATGCATTCAGCCTCCATGACCAGCCGAATTCGAGCGCTTAGCAAGGGTTTGGCCATCAGCTGCGCAAGAGATTCGACATTCACAATATTCTCTTCCTTCGTGGTATACGGCCCAGAAATGAAGAAAAACTTGCAACGAACCAATCAAAGTACACCACCTCACTATTTCTCCCGCACAGACTTCATGGCGCAAATATCCCTGCAAGGAAAGGCCGGGTGAGAAACTGCTTGACAAAACGGGCAATATTAGGATAATGTGGTCGGTTGCCAAAATTATGGTCCCGTTGTGGGGGTTGAAATACCGGGGTCGGTATTATAATGGGACCCAACTGTTGACGACCCCTGAGCTACAGTCAATATTTCTCCTCTTATGAATGGACATGACTTCATAGGGACCGCACAAAACCACCCAGACGACCCCTATGTCCGCCCTTAATGGTCCCGTGGTAAGCCTGATGACAGTAGCTCACATGAGCGACGACTTTTATTTATTGTCT